GAGTAAGGACCCTTGGAGAACCACTGCCCCTCATCTGGGCAGCCCCTCCCAGGGGGCCCATAGGCAGAGCCTGGGGCAGGATCCAGCTGATAAGCACATGTGATTCGATTCAGGCCTCTGACCCCAAACCTGGACCCGCCACCCTGAGCCTCACCTCCTAACTCCAGTGCTAGCCCACAGCTCTCCCTCTGCCTTGTTCTTTTTCTTTTTTTTAAGTATATTTTTATTGATTTCCAAGAGGAAAGGAAAGGGAGAGAGAGAAACATCAATGATGAAAGAGAATCATTGATTGGCTGCCTCCTGCACACTCCCCACTGGGGATCGAGCCTACAATCCAGGCATGTGCCCTTGACCAGAATTGAACCTGGGACCCTTCAGTCTGCAGGCCGATGCTCTATCCACTAAGCCAAACCAGCTAGGGCTCTCCCTCTGTCTTTTTGAGCCTCGCTGGGGCCTCCTGGCCCTCCGGGTCAGACCCTCACCCCTCATCCTGTCTCCTGAATACTCCCCTCCTCTCTGACTCTCATCCTGATTTCCAGACCAAGCCATCTCCTAACTCCCTTCTCAACTTACCTTCTTACCATCTTCTCCTGGGGGACCAGGCCGCCCCATATGGCCAAAGTCACCCTAGGGTGGGACCAGAAGGGAGTTCAGTGTGGAAATGTGGGGGGAGAGATTAACACACACACACCCCCACCTCCCCAGGAAAGAAGATGGGACATGAAGGGTGAGGGCTCAGAACCAGGGTTGGAAGTTCTGACACCGGGGGTGGGGAGGGGCTCATGAGTATTGGGAGGGGTTGGGCACGCGGGAGGGACCTCACACACTCACCCTTTGGCCCTGCTCACCAGGCAGCCCTGGAAGGCCATCAAAGCCCCTGTCGCCCTGCACAAAGGGATACCAGCTGAGCCTTGAGTCCTTGACCCTGGCATTTCCTCAGTCCCAGTCCTGGCCCCATCACCCACCTTAGGTCCTGTGTCCCCGGGGAGGCCCCGAGCCCCATCTGCTCCAGAGCGGCCCTGTGGGGGAGTGACATCATCAAGATACCCACTACATTTATTGAGCATCTTCTGCATACAGAGTCCTGAGCTGGGAGCTTCTGTATTAATCGAACCTTCCACATGTATCTCAAACCCACCCATTACTCTTTGCAACCATTGCGCTTTCTCTAGTCCAAGTCACCATCGTCACAACAATTAAGAAGCCTCAGCTTCAGTCTCCAGCAGCTGCCCTGCTGTGTGTTTCTCATGGCACTTAAAACTACCTGGAGAGATCTTGTTCATTATTTCCCGCCTGTGCCAGCCTTCTCTTTTGCACATGCTGTTCCTTCTCCTGGAATGCCCTTCCTCTCCTGTTTGCCTGGTTCTACCCCAGATTTCAGCTCAACCTCATTTTCCCTGCAAGTCCTCCCTGCCTCGGGGACCTGGCCAGACTCCTGTCATACGCTCAGTGGAGCTGCCATCCTTTGTCCTCGACTCTTATCCCACCAATGACACCAACACACCCTGGGAGCAAAAAGCTGAGGCTGGTGTTGGGTGTTGGGTGTTGAGGGATGGGTGAGACATGACCTGAGGACCTAGGAGTCACTCACCATCTTGCCCTGCCGGCCAGGGGGCCCAACAGGTCCCTGAAGGCCTCGGGGACCCTAGAAGAGAAAGAAAAAGAGAATGGGAAGAAAAATAAGAAGCAGGAAGGACTTATTTTAAATCATTCCCGAGGAAGGGTAGTAATTGCAAGAGTACCCCAGCCCCTTTGTCATTCTCCCCAACTAGCACTTTATCCGGTGGCCCTAAGGGAAGACCCTTCCCATGCAGTCCAGGCCCCACCCCCTCCCCCCCACCCCCCGATCTTACCTGTGGCCCCATTTCTCCCATCTCTCCTTTCTGACCTGCATACCCAGGGAGACCCTTGGAAGAAGAGATGGGGTAATGCCATTAGAATAGGTTCCCCCTCTGCATGACGTATCTCCCTTTCACGCAGCCTCTATACTCACCACGGGGCCTGGGCGCCCAGTGAGCCCCACCGGGCCAGGGGGCCCTTTCATGGAGAGCTGGAAAGACAGAGGGCAACAGAGCCTCAGCTCTCCCACGAGACTCCAACACCCCCCCACACCCCACCACAG